TAAATAAATAAATAGTTAGGCCTGGGCCTCCCAGCTCAAGCTGCTGCCCCCTGCGACCCGACTTTGGACTTTGGAACAAGGGGAAGATGATGGATGGATGGAATAAATAGTTTAAAAAAAACATTAATGTACACATATTGTGGAACTTTCACATCTAACTGGATGCCAACTTCAGACAAAAAGAAAAGAAAAAAGAAAACAATGTTTAAAATGATAAACAGATAAAGAGAAATAAATGCATTTCGATTCCAGCAAAAAAGAAAAAAAACTCAAGGAACAAATGTTCAACTCATACCTCTCCCTGCCATATTCCACCTGCAATACAACCACTTTGAACACACACGCACCCCCCCACCCCCCATACACACACATACATATATATATATATATATATATATATATATATATATATATGATTTGTAATTCCACCTACACTTTTAAAGAAAACTTGTACATTATTAGTTAAGTCACTGGGGGCCGAGATGTAGAGGTCGGGCAGCAAACATGGGCACAGAAAGTCACAGGTTCAACTCCACGCAATCCCCATTTGTCGTGGTGTCCATGAGCAAGACACCTGTAGTGAACCTAACCTGATGTCAAACTAAGCCTAAGGTCAAAACACTTGACCTTAAGAACCTTGTGGGACAGAAACTGTTATTTCATTGATCTGCATCCAGAAATACAGTTTGACCCATCCTGAGACTTTCTTTCTTGAATTAATCAAGTAGAAAAGACAATTCTCTATGATCATTACTACTTTACAAATGTTTTGATAATCAAATTGTGTTAGTTCAAACAATGTTTACAGCTTGTGAAGAGAACTACTCATTTTTATTTACATAAACAGTAAGTAATGATTTTTATTCCTCATTCAAAGAAGAAATCAGGGTAATATGCATTTCTTGATTTTTCTGTCTTCAATGAGCAAATTTGTAAGTGTGTTAGAGTTCGAGGTTCGGTCAACTAAAAGTTTACTGAAAAGAAATGTCATGTTTAACTTTTACAGAAGATACAGGAGAGTTTGACTCCACGAAGTCTGGTTTTCTCCAATAATCTTTCTGTCTGTTTTAAACAAACTTAATCTCTGTCCTTGACTTTGATAACACCTTACATCACAAACCACACCTCTGTTCTGGTCCATCGACCAATCAAAAAGCTCTAAATTGACCCGGAAGTCGAACCCATTTAAATGTGGCAACTTCCCGGTTCTCTCAGAGTGTTCGGGGATGCAGCTCCTGGAGAAGTGAGATGAAAAGTTCTCTGATAGAGAAGCTTCAGAGTTCTCTCAGGGATGAGATGTGACGAGTAGAGTTCTGAAGGAGTTCAGAATTCTTGCAATCCAGGATGCAGAGACGATTTTGGGAATTATAACTTCTGTTTGGATAACCTCACACGACTCCTAAGGGTTTGGCAGTCCTCACGGAGACGCTGAAAGAGTCAGAAGGGAACTCCACACCGACGCTGATTCTATCATCTGCAAGGTAAAAGGTTCTATTTCGACCAAGCGTACCGTGGCCAAGCTGATTCCCCAAAGAGCGTGTTGTTCTGGTCCTACAGATAAATTCCCTCACACATCTCTCTGTAAGATAAATCTCCATCTTTCATCTTTAAACTCTCCTTTCTCCTAAAATCATTACAGATATTTTAGAAATGTCTGAAGCAAAGTTCTCAATCACCGCCATGTGATTGATGTCTGCTGTTCTGCTGAGAAGTGAGGATAATCGCCGTATTGTCCCACTTCCTGTGAAACTAGCCATGTTATTGTTTTCATATTTTGCCAAATTAATGTAAATGTTTGATGTTAAACTTTGATTCTGCAAATAAATGACCGCATTCATTTTGATGGGTCAAAGATAAATAACGTCTCTCGTTACATTTCTGTTAAATTCAATGCACGACATTTACACAGTCAGAAAAATGAAGAACTCGTGAAATGTATGAATATATCCTGCATATGTCATACTACACACCTAATCCCTAATTGTTCTCCGGGCAGCTATGTAAGCATAGCTGCCCACTGATCCACCTGGGTGTATCTCACTTGTTATGGGTTAAATGCAGAGAACTAATTTCATCATTATATAGAAACATACAATGATGACAACACATAGAACTTTACTTTACTTTAAGACGGATCCACAGCACATTTATACATGCTTTGATTTCATAGCTACTCAAGATGTCCTCCACACCAACACAGAAATGGCTCTGACTCAGTCAGTTTTACAGATATTGAGCTAAATTTTGATGTGGTAGTAACTGAGAGCCATTCACAACAAGCACTCTGAGTGAGTCAGCCATCCCATTAGACATAACTTTCAAGTTTTCACATTTGATATATGGAACTAGATTTGATTGAATTTTAACTAATTCTATGTTAATCAATTGGGACTATATTTTATTTTTAGATAAAGCTCAGATTAATGGATGTCATTGTTCATCAGTGTAGGATAAACATCTCTAAACAGTTTGGACTGCACTAAGCAGCAGTAAGAACTCTTCTGGGCACACCTAGATGAATCTATAGGTGTGTGATCATTTAAACAGAAGATAAATGCAACAAATTAGCAGCTAAGACACCTACGATGGCTGGGCCACGTCAGAAAAATGGATGCTAGTCACATTCCAAATCATCTCATTCATGACAAGCTAGCAAAAGGTTCTGGAACTCAAACTCTGGATCGCTCGAACTGCTGGATGTCCACTTGTGCTTTGAAGTTGCACAAGAGTGGAAGTGTTTAGTCCCTGCAAGAGGAACAGGCAATGGCATCATCCCTCACTGCTGGATGCAACAGATAATCTCCCTCAGTAATCGGTTTGTTCAGCCACAAACTAAAGAGCAGATAGATGTTGGGTGCTTCACCATTGTAGTGAACTAGGCCTGAGACTTTATGGGACAGAAGCTGTCATTTCATTGATTTGAATTCAGAAATACAGGTTGACCCATCCTGAGACTTTCTTTCTTTAAGAGTTCAAGTGAAAGAACACTCTCTTTTCTATTATCATTACTGTTTTACAAATGTTTGATAATCAAAGTGTTTTTAGTTCAAACCATTTTAGATGTTGCAGTGAACTAATCATTTTTAATTAACTGTGAAACAGTAACAATGATTTTTAATCCTCATGCAAAGTTAGAATTCATGTTAAGGTCTGTTACAGAGTAATTATGCATTTTCTGATTTTCTGTCTTTGAATGAGCAGTGTAAGTTGGTCCAAGGTTGGAGTCAAACGCAAACAAGTTGTTGGAACGACTTGTCATGTTTTTAAATCCTCTCAGACGTAAATAGAGAAGCTGGCACCTGTTTTCCGCCAACTCGTCTAAATATTCCTCTCGTCTGTCTGGAAAACATTTTCAATCTGTTATAACATTCTTGCTGTTTTTCTAACTCCTAGTGACCTCTTACGTCACAAAAACACACCCCTGTCTGGTTGAAACGACCAATCAGGAAACTCCCAAGTGAACCGGAAATAGAGCTCTTTAAAGGTTGGTACTTCCTAGTTCAACCCAGTCGAGTTTCCAGTCGAGGTCCCAGTCGATTTGGGAGTTGAGCTCCAGTCGTTTGGGAGAACAGAAGTCCAGCCATGATTCAA